AAAAAAAAAAAAAAAAAAAAAGTTCCTCCCTCATACTACACCTCATTCCCAGGATGATCAAGAATGACATAAAAATAAGTTTAATTAATTGCTCCTGATAATGTGAAAAGGCCTGATCCTATGTTTATTAGAATATCAACAGATCTCACATTTCTTTCATCTAATACTTTTACTTGCCTATTTTTACTTCTGCCCTAATAGTACTGTTTAGCAGGCTATTTAGTTTACTTAAGGAGCTCCAATATGGACACATATAACAAAAAACAGGTACTAAATGCTTATTGTAAGGAGAAATTAAGTGTGGTTAGGATGTGTTGATGAAGTAGGAAAGGAGTCTGGAAGTAAAGAAAAGAAATTTATGTAAAATTGTTTACTGGTATTGTGTTCTGATGTCTACTGTTAAACTACCAACTACTACTGAAATCTGATTTCTCCTCTCCCTCTTCCTCTTTTTCCCCATGTTTGGTATTGGGAGTTTGAACTCAAGGCCTTGTGCTTGCCAGGCAGGTTTTCTTACCACTACTACTTTCTTCTTTTTCTGGTAGTATTAAAGTTTTGAATTCAGGGTCTCACACTTGCTTGGCTTGTGCTGTACCACTTGAACCATGCCTTATGCTAGTTATTTTGGAAACAAAGTCTAATGGACTTTTTTTGCCCAGGCTGGCCTTGAACTACAAACCTTCAGAACAGTAAGAATTACAGGCATGAGCTATTGGTGCCTGGCCACTATTACTTTCAAACAGTAACCATCTGTTATTTTTTTTTTGTACATATTATTTATATTTGGCTCTAATGTTTAAAACACTTTTTGCAGAAGCAATTCAAAAACTCAATATACGCCCAGCTTATAATGCACCAAGACCTTAAATATATGTGACTTTCTATTACAAAATTGCTAAGGATGAAAAATAAAGATAGACAGCATTATATCACTCTGGTACTAGTGGATCACATATGTAATCCTAGTTAGGAGATGGAGATTGGAAGGATCATGGTTTGAAGCCAGCCAAGCAAAAAGTCAGTGAGATCCATCCCCCATCTCAATCAATAAAAGCTGTCATCCCAGCTATGCAGAAGTATAAACAGGTACTGCAATCCAGGCTGGCCCAAGCAGAAATACAAATAACTAACGCAAAAAGGGTTGGGAGCATGGTCAAGTGATAGAGAAGTTTTAGCACATGAGACCAAACTGCTCTTTTTGAGAAGGGGACAGACAGGTGCTGATGAATTTGTTTTTATTTCAGGGAGGCCACCATTATTTACCTTTACATTCTGGGTTTTCACAATATCAGTTCTGTTGGCCTCTGGATCCACAGATTCTCTTTTAAGAGTGGCAGCTCTGTTCCCCACCTTGGTAGGCAAAAAGGACAAGAGGAAAAGATTAAAGACAAGCCTTAAAACTTGAATAACACAACATTTTTAAACAAACTGAAGCTTATTTAACGGGTCTTGCACCACTTGCAACAGGAACACCAGAGTGGCGGCAGAATGGAAAGGGAGCAAGTCAAAGTAGAAGCTGGGGACTTTACAAACTTTAAAACGTTGAAGCATGAAAAGTGAGAGAACTGTTATCCAGATCCACATTGGGTACTCTGCTGCTGGGAGAAACAGTGGGGCATATGGATATTATTACCAATTTTCTCTGCTGGATAAAAATATGAAAGGACAGGGCAGGGACAGTAGGGAGAATCTGGGGGTGGTAAGTTTTCACAATAAGCCTTGAAAACCTTCCAGGCTTACTATATTCATCAAAACATCCCAAGTTCCCTACTTAGCCTAGCGAGGTTCAAAAGGGCTTTAAAAACTAGGGTTCCTTTAATCTTCACAGCTTTGTACTAAATTACACACCCTTCTAAATCAGGAGGGGCTGGTAGAGGGGGATAGGTCTTCTACTCCACCCTTCAAAGCCATGTCTGGGCAACTTGCCAAGGCTCCCCCATGGCAGAGCATTTCAAACGCTCTTTGCCTTGTGCCAGAGTTCAACTTTACTTGTCAGCTTGCTTCCAGCTTTGTGGATACTTGAATTTATAGTACAATTTCCTGTATTTGGTTTCCATTTTTTTAGATGCCTGTGTCTTTGCTGCTTGACACCTTTTAAAGGTTGGGGCCTATAACAGTCACAGAATAATCCATATGTGGATTCTGCATGCTGTGTAGGTAAAAAGTGATTTTTAAAAGCCCATATTAAAGTATTCATAAACAGGTGGGTCAGCCAGCATCAGAAACTTCATAGGTGACTCAATTTTCTTATGAGGGGTCAGAGTCACTGACCTTATGTATTGAGCTAGTTTATTTTAAATGGTTCTCTTGACATTATATGCTAAGAGTTCCCCTTGATATTCCAACGAAAGAAAGCTAAATTCAGGCTTAACAGAAATGGCAAAAAAAAAAAAAAAAAAAAGGCAACTCATTACTCCTATTTCTAACATCTTGGAAAAGATCAGGAAGACCTCAGACCTCCTTCGGAAATGTGCTTAAGCTTCCATACTAGATAAGTCACTGTAACATATTAGGAGACTTGTGATCTCTGCCAACAACTTGTGATGGTAAGGCCTTGGAAAGCAAGTTGATGCCACTACAACTCCCTTTCCAAATGTACTGGCACAGCCTCTGTCAGTCACATCCCAGAGCTGGTGGAATGACTAAAGGAGACAGGGATTAAGCACAACACAGATGTTCTCAAGAACAGCGACAAGTCTGTTCTCAAAAGGAGGTAGAATCTCATCTACATATAGACAAAATACACTGCAACAAGAACATGTCACAAAAGAAATGCTGTAAATGCTTACCATGCTGGAAGTCAGGTTTGCTTTCTTTTCTACCTTGCTCAAAGCAACCATATCACTTTCTATCAGGTTGACTCTCTGCGTAAGATTAGTGAGTGTCTCATTCATCCCCTCGAGTTTAAGATCATTCTGTCTCTGGTACCCCACTATGGTACTGTTTACCTCCTCTAAAGAGTTGTGAAGGTACAGGACATCCTAGAGTAGAAATAAATCAAGTTGCAGAATGCAGCTAAAGATTGCTATTAGACAAGCAGGCCAGCAGCACGGAACAACTATTTCTATGCCAAATTATTGAAGCAAACTCCATTTTCCCAGCTGTAACCATCCATCTTCCGTCCCTGCCTTGTCCTTCACCCAACTCTAAATTGCTCCCACTTTACTCCCCCTGAAATGGTATGATCTCAGTTGGACAGAGGGAAGAGGAAAACATATGTGATTCCCTCTATGATCCCAGAAAGCAGAGTTTGGGAATTGATTTCCCAGTGTTCACCTCACCTGTTGGCAGGAAGGCTGGCTGGGTTATTAACTGAAAATCCCATTAACTTAATTCATCAGAACAAGACTACCTTAGGAACAATATCAACTATTAAATTGGTTCATGTAACAAAACCATAACAAGTAGTGCATTACTGATTGCTACTTAAAAAGAAATGATGCCGGGGCTGGGGAGTTGGCTCAGTGGTAGAGCGCTTGCCTTGCATGCCTGAGGCCCTGGGTTTGATTCCTCAGCACCACATAAGTAAAAAGAAAAAAAGCTGGAAGTGGTGCTATGGCTCAAGTGGTAGAGCGCTAGCCTTGAGCTGAA